TAGAATAATTTCTACTTGTAGATGTGATATCTTTAAAAATAGGTCTTTTAACAATATATTTAGAACTTAATCTTTCTAAATTGTCATATAATTGAAGAATCTCATGTTGATATTTAGTAATAGTCTATTGGGATGAGTAGATTTCGTCTTCAAGAATCTGTAGTCTTTCTTCTAATAACTGGTTTTTAAGATTTAAATTTCTAACAACTTTGGTCATAATTTTACAACTATCACAAAGTTGTATTGACGATGAAGATGACGCTTGAAAACTAGAGGGTTGCATAGTCTGTCTAACTCTTTCAGATATATAAAAGTTAAATCCTATCATTTCTCTACAAAAATTTAAAGCTTTTTTTAATGTGTCTTTGAAAAAATGGTCTAGAAATATTTCTACTTGTTGCAATACTTTCGACCAATAATTATATGTGCATGGCTTTCTACCTTTAAATACTGCAAATAAATTAAAAATTCTACTTTCTACTTGATTATGGATTTGTCTAAAATGATTAGCCAATGCATTAATGCTGTCTAATTTTTATTTAGAGTGACGTGCCATCCAGAGATTAGCTAGTAGACAACGTTCCCTTTCTGGTAGTCTTTCTAAATTATTTCATATGAAATAGAGATTAGATCCTTGTAGGTGGGGCCACTCTTAGAGTGACATTCTCAAAATTCATCATCCTCTGATCCATCTGGATCATGAAAATAATGGGTTAAAAATTAATAACTTTTCTACTTAAATTATCAGCCAAAATATTATTTTTTCCGTCTATATGTCCTACATTAATTTTATAGCTGTTTAATATCTCATATAGTATTAACCATCGTTTATGTCTTATTTTATCAAAATTTGTCTTTTTAATAAATTTTACTATGGCTTCACAATCTGTTCTAATTGTAAATTCGACATTTAAAAATAATTTAAAATTTTCTATGCTATGTATTATGGCCATTATTTCATAATCTAAACTCGTCAAGTATTTTCCCTTTATCTTATATTTTCCACTAGCACTTCTACAAATCTTTCCTTCTTTTTTATCGCTGTACTTATTTGGTTTGGAATATAAAATTCCTTCCTATCCTAGTTCACATCCATTTGTTTCTATTATTTTATATTCAATATCTAATGGTAATTCTAATGGTGGTAAATTTTTAACTTCTTCTTTTATTTTTCTAACTAATTCTATATCTGACTCATAAAAATATTTTTGTCCCTTACTAGATATTTTACTATACAATGATCATATTTTCTTTCCTAAATCTTTAATAAAATGTCTCGCATAATTTAAAATTCCTAAAAAGACTTGTAATTTTTTAGTTTCTTCTATTTTGTCTGGAAACTATAAAATTGTTTGTATTATGAGAGTGTTTGTTTTTTATTTGAGAATTAATTCTCAAATAAATTCTTATTTTCAACTACACATTTTTCAATAAAATAATATTTTCTATCACATCATTAATTTTTTCTTCTTTTTTAACTACATATTTCCCATCATATCACTATTCAAAATCATTTATTTCTTCAAAAATCTCTACCAAACAAGCTCTAAATATGATTGCAACTGAATTTTTCCTTCTCCTAAAATTATTCCTAAAAATTCAATTTTTTGTTTATTTATTTCCATTT